GTAAGAGTTAGGATAAGAGATGTTCTTTGAAGAGGTGAAACTTTAAGAGTTTCCTTATGATAGAAAGGGATGCTGCTGTTCTTGTAGCGCTTGGTAGGTCATTCCACCTTCTTGGAAGAACACATGAAAACAGTCTGGATTGTCTTAAGCATGGTGTTGACACTGCTAGACCACAATCCATTGACGACCGGTATGACCAAGTTGTGACATAAGCCTTTGCAAGAAGGTTCAAGTAGATGTGAGCTGTACCCTTAAACACTTTGTAGGCTAGCATCAGGGACTTGAATTTGATGTAGGCAACCAGGGGTTACCAGTGATGCTTAAAGAACAGGGGGGTGGTGTGAGTCTTTGGGCTGATTGAAGACCAGATGCGCCGCCGCGCTCTGGATCATTGTAACGGTTTTACTGTAGAGGCTGGGAGACCATTCAGGAGTGCGTTACAATAGTCATTGGGGAGATAACGGTAGACCGACCAGGAGCTGAGTAGCATGTTGGGTTGGGTATGGCTGGATCTTTCTTATGTTTAGTAGTGTGAAGCAACAAGCTCGAGAGACAGAGATAACATGATCTTTAAAGGTCAGTTGGTCATCAATCATGAAACCCAAGTTTCTTGCTTCCTTTGATAGAGTCAGAGACAGGGATCCAGTATGTGGTGTAAATATTATGGGGTATGGTTGGTTTGGCTAGGAAAACAAGCAGTTCAGTTTTTGAGAGATTCAGTAATGGGTGATGGACTTCTATCCTTAACATTGCAGTATTAAAGGTGACAATCAGTAATCAAATAAATAAAAAAATAATAATAATGACATAACTCACTGTTCTGTGTTTTGTTCAAAGGTGACTTTGCCATTCGAAAACTTGTCCCAAATCATGAACTGGTCTGGCAATTAGCCCAGTCCTATCATCAGAGTGTGAGTCAGGGACCTGCTGAGACCAGCCTCACCTCATCATCCAGACTAGAACCAACATCATCCTCTGGCCTTAGCAGACAAGCGGTTTGTAATCCATTCCCTGCCCCCACACACAACTCCACGACAGACCCCCTCCCTGAGTCGGGTACATTTGGAAGCCACCTGGTTGGAAACCGAATCCAAGTGTCTCGTGACAATGAATTTGATGCCAGCACAAACCACAGTTTAGCTGGCTCCTGGGGACGCTCCAGCCATACAGCTCCCATCATCACCACTGCCTCCACATTTTCCACTCCCTCAACAGGTGTTTCCTCCTTCTCCTCCTGGATAGCAGGCCCTTCTCCAGAGGACAGTGCCCTAAAGCAAGACCTTCCTCGTAGTAGCCGATCTCTACAGGGCAACTGGTTAGCCTACTGGCAGTATGAGATCGGTATTAACCAGCAAGATTCACATTTCCACTTTTACCAAATCCGACTTCAGAGCTTCTTAGGTCATTCAGGCACCATAAAGTGTTTGGCACCACTTGTGGGAGAAGATTACTTCATATCAGGGAGTAAAGACAAGACTGTGAAGCTTTGGTCCCTTTATAATCACGGTGATGGCACACAGGAGGTGGAACCTCGGCTGACATACAGCGAACATCGAAAGTCTGTCTTCTATGTAGGACAGCTGGAGTCCTCACAGGAAGTGGTCAGCTGCGACGGCACCGTGCATGTGTGGGACCAATACACAGGTACAGGAAATTAAAACCCTATTCATTTCTGCCTTTGGTTAAATTAAACCACAGGGAGTTTGTAATTTTGTCTGCCTACTTTATTTTTTTATGCTGTTCTGTTTTTTCTTCTCTTTTTTTTAAATTCATCCCCAGGCAAGCTCATCCGTTCTTATGAAGCTGTGGATGGGAAGAATCCAATTACAGCCGTCACCACAATGCCAGCTCCACAGTCCAGTGTTGTGTTTGGCAGTGCAGATTCTGTTCTCCGCTTCATTGATCCTCGAAAACCTGGATTGCAGGTAGCAATTTCATTTTGAGAGCACATTCTCTCAAGACCCAAGCTATTTACCAGCCAGCAGTCATTAATCATTGCTGTGTTTTCAAAAGAATGAGCATTTTTGCACTTCCCCACCACTAAGTCATTTGAGTGTTGAAAGTGACGAATCTTGTCCTGTGTCCCCAGCATGAATTTCGACTGGCATATAACAATGTTAGCGCTGGGCTCATCCGCTACCTGGCAGTAAGCCCCTCAGGACGCACAGTAGCTGCAGGTTTCTCCTCAGGATTCATTGTTCTGCTAGACGCACGCACTGGACTTATACTGAGGGGCTGGCCAGCTCATGAAGGAGATATTCTGCAAATGAAGGTAAGTACTTTCATGTAGTTCAAATCATTTATTTGTTGTTGACAAATGCATCCTTAAATGTTGTGTGTTTTAAAATTCTTAAGTATCCCTGCTGTTTTCATATTTCTTCAGTCTGCTTCATATATATGCACAGTTAGCTAAAGAAGTACAGCTGGGGGGCTCTACAAATTTCTTTGTAAAACCCACTGACTAGGCACTATACTTCCAATGCTAATTCCCATTCTGTTAAGCTCGACCAGCCAGATTGACTTACAGGAGGCGCAAGTCAGTGTGTTGATGCTCAGATTCTCCAATCTAAAACAGACCTGACAAATCATATTGCAGGAAATTGACTCTTTCTGTAACCATAATAGTAAATATTGCAGCTGGAACAGAGAGATGTTTAAACACTAGAACTCTCAAAGCCGTCATTTTGACAGTTCTGAGATTTTAAAGAGAAAGAACTATATTTAAAATTAATCGTAATGTTGCTCATGTTAGTTGACTTTTTTCTGTTTCTATATTTCCTTAATTTTCACATATTTATTTTTTTTTTATATCAAATAAAAACGTAAAAAAAAAATAAATATGGTTAATTTTACCTCGATCTACCACAGCCGTCATTTTGACGGCTCTATTGGTTGCATTGTAAATTCTTCCCGCGCTTGATTGACGATCGGTACAGTTGCCAAGCAACCAACATTCCACCTAGAACTCTTTGGCTAATACGAAAAAATGGCTCTCAGAAGAAATCTAACAGCGAAACAGGCTTTAGAAATGCTTCAAAATAATGATGAAAGCGATTCGGACGGGGGGGGAAAGACTGTTGAGGAGGACTGTGGAGGAAGCGACTCAGATTCTGAAAGCGAGTCTGTTGATGATCACCCGCCCCCGTGAAAACGCAGATATATCAGTGACCCATCAGACAATAGTAAAAGTTTTGTTTAAGCACTGCCCACACCTCAGCCGGTACACATCCATCCAAAAGCCAAACCAGAGCCTGCAGTCTACTGTAATCACTCACAGGTCAGGGTTGATGTGTCTGATCAGATGATTAGAAAGGATTCTGTAAAAGCTCCGACGCGAAGGTGGCGTGTGGCTGACATTTTATGATCTCCTGGAAATATCAGCTATAAATGCATTGGTTTTGTTCAGGAGATGTTTGAATGTCACTTTATTTTTTTACGTAGGGATTTTATCCTTGAACTGGTAAAAATGTTGCGGGCAAACCACAGGTTTTCAGCCACTTCCCCGCCGTAGAGCAGCTTTGGCGAGGCACAGAAAACAGCGCCAGGTGCTTCAGCTCTGCACAAAACAAATGCTCATATGATGTTTTTATAAATGTGAAAAGGTGGTCTGTGGGAAATGTTTCGGGTGAGTCAATCAATTTCTGTAAATAAAATTATAATTTCAAACTTTGAACCTGTTTAGTAAAACAGTCTTATTCTATGGATTTAATTTTAATACAAATTTAAAACACAAATAATAATAGCGTACAAAACAGCCTTTGAAAAATATATATTAGATTTGATTTAAGGTTTACATATCCACAATGGGTTTATATCTCACACTAGAACAATTTCAGTTGATGACATCATCCCTACTCATTTTGGGTCAAATTGACGGCCAGTAGGAGTTCTAGTAGGATCAGAATTCTGGGAGTCCTTGTGTTAATGAAACACTTTTTTGTGTGAAGTGAGATGGAGGGTTCTTTGGAATTGCAACAACTTTCTGCTGTAGTAACTTTTCTTTTCAAAAATGATATTTTTGAAACACTGATTGGTTCTGACCAGTTTCTGCCGACCTTGTTGGGTCCGCCCAGGTCCTACCTTTGAAATCAGGCTCTACCAGCTCCTTTCCAGGATGATATGCAGTGTTTACAGTGTTAGTCAGTCTGGGTGGTCACGCTACATGCTGTCAGGATGGCCGTCTGGGTATCTTGCTTAAATATCATATAAAACCTAAACAGTTTTGTTTAAATATATCTATAAATCTTTCTGAGGTAAAGGGTTTTATGATTTTTTATGATCCATTGGTTAACATTCATTTAAAAGGTCATTTGATTCAATAAATACAAAAGAGGATATGTATCCTCTGATATCAGTAATGTTAATTCTACCTGTATTCCAGTACTTTGAGTCTTGATTAAAAAAAAAGAAGCATATGCTTTCATCTGTTCTAGTTTGATTTAAAGATTCAAATTTCTCTATTCTTTGCCAGTTTCTGAAATTATTTCAATCAAGCCCAAATGGTTTTAAGTAACAAATATGGTCCCCAAAATTGTAAATAAGTGTAAGACCTGAAAATGTGGTTCATAACACCTCAGACTATAACTTTAAGTGTTGGTGATAACTGTTGGTAGACCGAGTTGCTTTTATTTTGATCTTCTTGCTGTTGTGAGTCAGAGGAGATGATGAAAGCTGTACCCAACAGATTTTCTGTCAACAGACTGCAAACTTTATTTAACCCCAAATTGGGTCAAGGATTGTATTTCTAGTTTTAAAGGCACAAGTTAGGCAAATATGGACATGGGTTACTCATTAGAAAGTCCGCACTGATACTCAGTCACATTGAGATTACTCAGATGTTTATATTTTCTCTCGGGAAGTGAAGTCCTTGGCCAATCTAGAATAATATCCTCAATAAATGTGGGGGTTTCACGTCTCCTTTCTGGAAAAAAAAGGAAACTACCTCCAGCCAATGAGCAGCTTTGATTTGCTAAGTTTAAACTTTAAACATCTTGGAAGTATCTTTAAACATTTTTGACAGAATGCTATTTCACTGCTATAGCCTGTTTATTTATTTTCTTGTTTGTATTTCATTTTTTTAGGCTGCAGAGGGAAATCTGGTGATCAGCTCTTCCACCGATTACTCCCTGACTGTGTGGAAAGACCTTGAAAACAAGCCTCTCCGCCAGTACAAGTCACAGTCCGACCATATCCACGCCTTTGACCTTTACGGTTCACAGATCGTAACCGGAACTGTGGCTAACAAGATCGGGGTGTACTCTATGGCTGATATCTCCCTGAGCCCTGTGAGCAGCACAAAGCTGAGCACGGAAAACTTCCGCGGCACTATGACCAGCCTGGCTGTGCTGCCCACCAAGAGGCTTCTGCTGCTTGGCTCCGACAACGGTGCCATTAGACTACTAGCCTAAAATGGTAGCTTCTAGCTGCACTAAACTCTCTTTCCATTGATCTCGGCTGTCTTTTCAATGGAGGAGACGATGTCTGAGCTGCCATATTGGGCATATTGGAGTCACACGTTGGGTCTCGGGTTTAAGTTGCCGTCCTTTTTCAAGACGGCATCACTAGTTGCACCATTATAGAAGCTCAGCATTTGCAGAATCGTGTAAATCTGCCAACTAGCACATAATTTAATGGACCGAAGGTGTTCCACACTGCTGACATTCATCGTGTACACTGCTATGTCTGTAGATATATACTATATAATAACTCCTGTCTCGACTAGGTCAATTGTTTTACCCAGGTCAGCTTTTTGTTGTTTATAAAAAAAAAAAAAGAAAATTGGGAAAATATGCTCAGGAAGGTCTTATGTATTGTTTAAACTTTTCCAAATAGATGCTTAACAAAACCAAAAAAATTCACCAACCTCACCTGCCATTTTCCTTAATGATGACGAGTCTACTCAAATTCAGATGCACTGATGAAACTATGCAGTATTTCTAACGAAAATGATTCCAGTTATTGTGACTCCATGTTTTTTAAGAGCTGTTTCAAAGCAGTATGTGTAAACATCTCAAACAATAAACGTACACTTGCTGTTAGAATGACGGTATTGGCGTGCCTACTCAGAGGAGAGACACTGGGGTTGTCACCCCAGAGAAAATGTCTGCTACACAGCGTTGATGTCTACTGCACAATGAATTGTACCATTTAGAGTCTTGCTCTGATTTTTAATACTGAATGTTTTTATTTTACAACTAGGTTGAAATCTCTTCATCATTTTGAAGACAATGTGTTGGCCCTGTAGCAAAATTGTATGTATGAGAAAGTGTATGTGTGGACGATGCTTTTACCGAACATGCCAGTTGCTAAAACACCACTTTTCAACATCAGAGCCTGATTTACAGTGCCTTGCAAAAACATTGACTCCTCTTGAACTTTTCTTATTCTGTCATGTCAAACCAAATACTGTTATTTCTATGCATTTTATAAGAATTTTATGTGATAGACCCACAGAAAGTAGTACATGATTATAAAATAAAGGAGAAAAGATCAGGTTGGCCGGGCTACTCTAATATATAAATATTTTGATATATTAACTGATCAATTTTGACCAGCTCTGAAGAGAATCCTCCACACAGCATGATGCTGCCATCGCCATGTTCCACTCTGGTGTGTTAAAGGTGATGCGCTGTATCAGTCTTCTAACACTGAACTTACTAATCAGGTGATTTCTAAAGGCAATTATGTAATATTTTATGAAGTAACAGCAATGAGGGTAAATACCGTAAAGTTTTTATTTGTAAAATCTGTGTTGGTTTAGGATTAAACTGTGTCGCATATACAAATACCTTTAATCCTTGCCTAAGCTGCATTTTTTTTTTTTCGACTACAGACTGGGACCTTTTCATTGTTTCTCCCCCCTTGAATATTTTTTAAATTCTTTCTTTTGCTTTGTTGGTCTATCTATAAAATACTAATAAAATACTACTTATAGCATTACAAAACATGGAAAGTTCAAGAGGTTGAAATTGGTTTATAAGGAACAGTCAATGCCAAGAAAGGTGTAAGATGAATATATATATATCAATAAAGTGTTTAATTTACCAGTTTCTAAAGCCAAGTAGCATAAAAGTATACTTGCTCTGCACTTCCGTGTGAATCACTAGAGCTTTTATACACTTAGCTTTTTTTGATTACATGCCTAAAGATCAAATTGTTCCAGTAATGTATGCTAACTTTTGAAGCTAAAATGAAAACATGGAAAAACACGTTAACATTCTTAATAAAAGAATTTCCTCCATTTCTATTCGTGTGATCTACTTTTTTATGATTTATCATTAAGTTTAATTTTGCTTTGCTGTTTTCTTTAACTACTTTGGGTGAAGTGTACATCTTTGTGTTTGCAGTCTTAGCTTTAAGTTTTTTTGCTTGAAGTTGTACGATTTCTGTGCTTCTTTTTGAATAGTTACAACCTTAATGTGGGAAATTTCCGTTCAGAAAAGGGAATTTGGAACCTCTTTTATTTGACTGATGTCAAAATCTGGGTCTTCTTGGAAATGTGGGTGTGTTTCCTGACATCAAGTATCTCTGCATCAAGTCAGCATGTTTTGTTTATCCACACACATGATTAACTACATTTTTGTAACTGGTTAGTAATGTTTCCTGTCAAAGATGAAGTTTTGTCATATACCGGTAAACGTCCCGATTGCATGAAAAGTAACCGCATAACTCAAGCGTTACTATTTAACCCCATATGAGCCTCAGTAGCTGCATTTGCAAACAAATAGTGGTTTGAACAAACCCCCTGATCAATGCAAGTTGATATTTAACTGTTTGCTGTGCAACTGCCAATCTTTTACTCAGGGAATTTAGCCATTCATAGTACAGTAGGTTCTCCTTTTTTTGGACCAGCCAGGAGAGATTTCTTTTCATTTCAAAAAGGTAAACACATTCTTTATTTTAATGCTTTAAAATTTATTGCCATTTTGACAAATTCAAGACTTTTATTTAGTCTCGGGTTAAAATTGAATGCCTAAAACATGAACGTAACCACATTTGTTATAAAGAATTATCTCGATAGAAATTTAAACCACTCCTCTACCGTGAGCTTTAACTTTGGAATATGGCTAAACGTGCAAACTTTGTAACTTTAGTTGAGTTCAGTTTACGGGTCAATTATTTCGACAAATGTTTAGGACACATTTGTTCATTTACTCAAAACAATCTCCAATCATAGATAAAGTCATATGGAAGCTAAAAATGTTTTATTTTTAAGTTAACTGGAAAAGCGGTTGATTTTTCTTCATACAATGCATCTATGGACAAGAGTTTAATCAAGAGAGGCAGGTCTCTAAAGTATGTCATTGTTCTTTGTTTAATCTATTTTTCTCCAACAGTTACTTTCATGGATATGGAACTCTGCCTGACACTCCTGTTGATTTGTCTCTGCAGCCAAGGAGCTACTGTAAATCACTGAAATAAATGATTTAATAATCTTCATTGTTTACTTTTGAAAAAAAACCTTTAAAGATTATTGTTCTCTGCTATCTTGTGCTCAGCAGAATGCTGAAGTGGCAGAAGATCACTCAATCCCCCTAATTCCTCTAACTCCCAGTCAACCCATAGAAGTAAGAATTCAGAAGCTAGTGTTTAATAAGCCTGTTTTTTTAAGGAAAACACTTATACTGGATCCTGATTGTGTTTTCCTTCCCTATAGGAAGGGCAAAGCCAGGGTACTGCAGAGCCAACAACAGTAAACAATACAACTGTTAGTGCATCATCCGTTCCGCCGACAAACAAGACATTACCAGATGAAGAAGAAGGGGATGGTTGTCAGGTTATCGGTCAAAGCCTTGACACCAAACAAATGATCACTGCTGCAATTCAGAGACTGGGTTTGCAGCTCTTACAGAACCTGGAGACGACTACAGAGCAGCCAAATCTCATCATTTCTCCTCTAAGTATATCCCTGGCCCTCTCGCAGCTGGCTTTAGGTATGCAAGCCCCACAGAAACATGTTCTGTATAAATGGCATATTTAAGATTGCAAAGTGGGATTATGTTTTGTTTATTTAAGGTGCCCAAAATAAGACGGAAGAGCTGTTGATGTATCACCTTAATGAAAACGCAGTACCTTGCTATCATGAGTCTCTGCGTAATGTCCTAAGACAGCTGAGAAACAGTGACACCCAAATTGCCACGCGCATGTTTCTGCAACAAGGTTAGTCCTAAGAAGCATTCGTCTGTTCTAACACTCATATCAAATGTGCAACTCATGCATGCTATTTGTCTGCTGTTACTGTCCCATTTAATCTAATTTTGAACAACAAAACTGAGCCTTTTCTTTTTTCTTTCAGGGTTTAAGGCAAAGCAAGAGTTTGTGCGTGAATCTCTGCGGTTTTATGACTCAGAACCTGCAATAGTGGAAAGCCTTCAGCAGATAAATGGATGGGTAGAGAATGTAACAGAGGGAAAAATAACTGACTTCCTGCCCTCTTTACCACCCAATATACTTCTCATGCTCATCAATGCTGTTTATTTCAAAGGTGACCAGCAAGCATAATATACTTAAAACTTACAGGTGTATCTAAATAAATTAGGATATTATTTAAAAGGTTATTTATTAACCTAATTTAGTTCAAGCTAAAACTGAGATACATTCATAGCATGTAAACTGATATTTTATGAGTTTTATTTGTTGTAAGATTCATATTATGGACATAATTCAGTTTCTTTAAAAAAATTTGATAATTCATAAAAATAAATGTGGGATTTTGAATATTGATCTCCACAATCATGGGAAATACTGCTGACTTGACAGTTATCAAGTAAATTGACAAACTTTATATTTAAAACCTGCATTGCCAGTTAATCCTACACCAAAATTAAATAAGTTTGATTTATAAAAATGTAAAGGCTCTAGTAAACGCTTGTTCTTGTACTGTATACCTTCTTCTGAAATGCTTCTCGTTCCCTAACTGCATTATTCCCCAGTAACAGTCTTGAACACAACACTTAACAACCACCATCTTTACAACCGGTGGCTAACATAACCAATCTAGATTAAATATCTTCTTTTGTTGGCCATAGTATGTAATATACTATTTTTCTAATTAACAGAATATTATGTTTTTCATTTACTGTATTTATAATATAATATAATTTCAGAGCATTGTCTCTATAATGGATCTTTAAGAAATATTTTGTTTATTTTGAAGTTGGTTATCAGTTAAATAAACTTTTTTATAATCTATTCTATTTACGTGCATCTTAATACCCATTAGTATATAATCTAACACATTGATTAAGTAATGAAAAAAAAACATGATTGTTTCTTTAAGAATTGTTTTCTGTTTAATGGATGCTGCTGACTAAAGAACATTTTTAACATGTGTCCAACAGGAGAATGGAAAGCTCGATTTGACCCAAACTTTACCTCCAAAGGTGTCTTTTACCTGGATGATTTGCACATGGTGGATGTTGATATGATGGAAGATGCCAAACACCAGCTGAGTTTTTTCATTGATAATGAGCTAGAAGCTCAGGTAAAATATACTGTCTAGAGTTTTTGTTCTGGAAAGTTGTTTGCAGACTAGATGAAAATTAATTATGCCATTAATGATTTTCTTTATTGTGTAAGGATGTCTTTTTTAATCCTTTTGAAAACTTTCATGTAGGCTTTAATTTTTTTTTTTTTATCTTTAATCAAATTGATGAATCAATCTGCTCTATTAACAGCAGATTTTATGATTTGACCAGAGTTTATTCAGAGTAATCCTCATTGTGCTTTCATTCATTTTTAAATCTCCCAAAACCCTTTAATGTGTGAACTAAAACTATTTTCAGTAGAGCATTTAGTTGTACCTTACTCTTCACGCATCAGCAGTAACTTTGAAAATTTTGCTAAAAAGTAAACCACCCAATTGTAAATATTGTGCACCAACAACTCAGTTGTAAAATATGTAAAAAGTACTTTACAGATACAAACCTTTAGAAACTCGAATTATATCATCATCTCTGTTCCACTGCAACACAATGTTTTGTCTCCTTGTGCAGGTGGCAAGGTTCCCTTTCACAAACGACATGAGTTTATTGGTTATAATGCCCGAGTCTGGAAAAGTGAATGTGTCTTTACTGTCTTCAAATCTAAATATCTCTGATTTGTATGAACGTTTACCCAAAGAGAGAGCTGTTCAAGTTAAAGTTCCAAAATTTAAACTGGAATATTCCCAAGAATTACAGGAAGTTCTTACCAAATTAGGTAAGACAGGATCTTTCCACATCAGTAAATGCTGTAACAAAAGGTGTCTCTGAACTTCCTATTTAACTGTGGTTTTTCTATTAGGTCTCGGGGAGATGTTCCAGAATCCCAATTTGGCTGGAATTGCAGATGGCACTCTACTGGTGTCTCGGTTTATGCACAAGTCTGGCATTGAAATAAATGAGGATGGCGCAAGGGCTGCTGCAGCCACAACTATCGTCATCTCAAGGTCATCAAATCCTATTTTTCACCTCATTCAGCCCTTCTTCTTTGTGCTGATGGATGATGTAACTCAGATACCAATCTTCATGGGTGTCATCAACAATCCCAATCCTGGAGCCCCTGTCCTGGAAAAGGGAGAATTTGGAAGCAAAGATAAAGTGGGATTCCCAATTGACAAGAATTATGTGGGCTCATTTGGAAATCCTCCCAAGTAGAAACTTTATTCCTTTTCTTTTCCTCTAGAAAAAACTCACACCAATAGTATGATTGTACAAGCTAAGTCTACAGTATTGCTTTTCTGGTAAAAAAAAAAAAAAAAATCTTTGAAAACTAAAAATGTTTGCTTGTTTCCTTACACAAAAACACCAGATGGCAATTTGTAGAAAAAGCAAAATGAAAAATGCAGCAAATAAAAACTTGAAGGTTTGTACTATTAGACCATGCTGATGTTTTTATTTTACATCACTTAGACTTTTCAAGATGTTGTGATGTAAGAGCACAGCTTATCAGGAACAACAATATTCCTTAATTCAGTATATCTCTGGACTTTTTATGCTTGTTTTGCAGGTGCATAAATGTGTTAATCTTAATCAGCATCACCAGCATTACTTCTGATCTTAAATAAAGCAAAAATGTTTGAATAAATGCTTTATAGCATTTAACAAAGAAACAGAGGACATCCAGGTTAGCAGGGAGGTCATATTATTTTTACGCTTTGTAAAAACTGTGTATAAAATTTTTGAATTACTTGTGCATATAAGGAAAATGTCTATGATGTCTATATTGCATAAACAGTATAAAGGTTACACAGCATTTTGAAACCAAAAATACTTTTTTAAACTTAGATGTAGAGAAACAAATAAAATACTGTATCAATTTTACAGGTGGATCTCAATTCATAATAGTATACTTCATTTTAATTCCAGAAGGCAAAAATCATCTTATACACTGATTTACTAGACAGATGTATTTTAAGTATTTATGTAGATAATTATGACTATAAACTGTCAATAATTCAGATTATTTAAATATTTTCAAAGACCAATAAAAATTATTTTTAAAGTAGAGATCATTGAAAAGGAATGTCCTTAGCTTATACACTTAATACCTGCTCTATGCTTTGCATGACTGACTATATCATCGAGGCCTGGAATGAAGGCTGCCGTCCTGTAGCTCTGATGGGTTAAGGAAGCCCAGTTTTCCTTGATAACAGCCTATAGGGGATCTGTGTTGTGAGCTCTGGTGTCCCTCATCTTCCTGCTGGCCAGTCAAGCACAAAGATCTTACATTAAATATTGATTCATGCTGCAGTGTGTGTAAGTGTCAAGTCCTGGTAGGAAAGAAAATCAAACTTTTTGTAAAGCTTCTTTGTCTAGACAAAGAAGCCAGAGTTTCCACAAATACAGCTGCACTGACTTTGACTTGATAAAACAAAAAAATTGCACAGGCAGATTTCCAAACAAAGTGCAAAAATGTGCTTTTATCTAAAAAAAAATAAATAAATAAAAAAAAAAAAAGGAAAAAAGGATTAGATCACAGAGCAAGCTTTGAATCTCTCAAAAGTCTTGATTGTTGAATAGGCAACAGTCATCCCTGCTGCTTCTTCAACTCCACAATAACATTTTATTATTAAGCTTGAATACTAATTTGCTTGACTGTCAGCCTTTTTAGCAATTACCTTCTGTGTCATCTTCCTTATGGTGGAGATGGCCAACTACTGTCTGTTGAGCCAATATCAAAGCACATGTCTTCTCCATGACATTTCTGTATATGTAAGTATTTTTCAATTGGGACTATGGGATATCCCTATCTCCCCAAATCTTAAAATAAAATGTAAGATATAACAATACAAATTAACAAAAATGTATAATACATCATAGAGAGTGTAATCGTTTTGTACAAATAAATTTCACGTTTTAAACTACCGAAATAAATTGCTTTTTAATTTTATTCTAGCAGGATGCAGCAGCAAAATCAGGAAAGTGGTCATCAGGAAAAAATGTATAACATCCTCCTTTTTTAAAGGAATCCAACTGAAAAAACAAAAAACAAACAGTGATGCATTTTGTTCGGTTTAATTTACATTTATCAGTGTACTGTATGTCATGATATCGAGATATTCCCACCCTTAGGAACCCTAATTAACGACAGAAAATATAGGCTCCCTTGTCAGTCCTATTCACCCCTATTAATAAGTGTGCTTCTTATTTGCTATGTGTGGTATCTTAGACAAATTTATTTGTCATTTTGTTTACACAAGTGTAAAACAGAAAGAAATTTCGTTAAGAACAGCTCTCTATACAAAAAAGTGCAGCCTTGAAAGATAGTAAAAAAAAAAAATATATAGATATATATCTATATAAACAGTAACATAAACATATGGCTGTAAATTTACAGTTCTAACATTTCATTTTTTATATAATATAATAAAATACAATAAAAGAACCTATTTTACAAACAATCTTTTTGTCCAAACAAACAATAACAAATATTTATCAATCCAAATCCTTCTATTCCCATCGTTTTTTTTTTTTTTTTTTTTTTTTGGAGTATGAAAGTTGCTTGTTTCCGTACATACTTTGAACATATCACGAAGACAAAACAACGTCATAGTCAGTTTTGGCGCGGCTGGTCTCAGGTCAGCTTCACAGCGACTCATATCTGCTGCAAGTGCGCTTTGAAGCGTCGTAAACTGACTTCAGATCAGTGAACGGAAACGGAAGCTGCGAGGACCCAAAGCTTCGCGCGCGCGCCTCGTCAAAGCATTCGCGCCAGTCACAACTAAAGCAGCTTCCAGAGTGAGGTTCTTCTACCTGGTTGACCTGTTGAAACTACTTTAAATCTTATTTTCTAGCTAAACCACCTTCATAGAGCCATGGCAAACCTTTCAGCGGGGGCAATAGAGGTAAGCTTAACTATTGTTGGGTCTTTCTAAACTAATTTCAGCAAGTTTTATTTTTTGTCTGCTGTAGTTTGCTTACAATAATTTGTTCAAACATTGTCCGATTTAAATAAATGCAATCTGTAGCACAGCTGAAAGTATACACTTTTACATTTTAATATCTTTAATTGTTGTAAATGACAGAAATGTCAACTGACTAAATACAAATTTCAATAAAAGTAGCTACAAATAAGTTGATAAAATAATTTGAATGAAAATACTGCGTTTATGTGTGACTGTATTGTTGTAATTTAATCTAAATGGGTTTTCCAGGCTTTAGCAAATGGTAGCGGTTGGAACGAGGCAGTGCTTCAGTTGGTGGTAAGTAACGAGGCCATTTTTATAGAGCTTTACCATAAATGATCACCAATATGCTATCCGCTCTACTTAAATATTCTATAAACTACATAAATGGAATGCTGTAAACCGCTGCAGGTTTCGGACTTTAATATCTATATACACACTGCTTTTAATTGAGGAATATTGTACAAAGAACATCTAATTAAATTATTTTTCAAAAATGATGAACATCATTGTGTAATATATGTACCTGGTTTTTCATTCCAACTTTTAAAAACTTGTAATTTAAATATAACAATATGATATAACTGTAAAAAGCTGTCTTTTATAAGCTTTTGTTTCCCCTCTTGAAATCAATCAGTGTTGAGAATGATAAAGCCCCTCCTTTGTCCTTGTTCTTTGTTTCATTTTGCTCTATTTGTTTTCTCACAAGTTTAACATTATTCAGGTATTTTAAGTGCAATATTTGGTTTTTAGGTTATTTTTATGGAAAGGATTGAACTTGGCCAAAAAAGCTGTAACCTTCCTTCTTTTTTGTTGTGTTTTTTTTTTTTTGTTTGTTCTATTCCTCATCTTATCATCTTTTAATTATTGTTCTAATTGAGAAACATCATATTGCTATACCATTAAATTGATCAAAATAATCAACAATTTAATCATCATATTTAGAATATACGCAGACTTGATGGTGGAAATGGGCCCGCTCGCTTTAGGGTGATGATGAGCGATGGACGACACACACTTTCATGTAAGTTGTTTTTATTTTGTTTAGTTGTTTGTGCCTAGAAATTTTACACTTTTGTCACTTTACTTCATGAACAGTATTTCAGTTTGTTTATCTTTAGCATGGAATAATATAATGTTGATACGTAGCTTATTCAGATTGACTATTTTTGTCAGTATTTCCCAAAAATCTCCACGAATTAGACCACGCAGTTTTATACTTAAGTTTAAACATTTAGAGGCAGCTATATGAGATTGTGAAAAGAGCACTGGCAAAACAATCTAGAAATAAGTAACAATTTTTCTAAATTGAGTGTATTTACCCTTAATTTGAGTAGGTAAATAAGATGGTATTTTTTCTCTCAGAATAAGATAATTAGATAACATGCACTTGAAATAAGACAATGCAATTGTGTTTTCTTATTTTAAGTGTAAATTGTCTTGTTCCAATGGCAAAATGTCTCATTTACCTCCTCAGTCCAAGAACAAATGCCCTTATTATGAGAAAAAATGACTTTTCTAGGTTTCAATTTTTTCCAGTGTGAGCAGTTGACCCGCTACTCTTCAAGTCTTGTCATTTTAGGCGGTTTCTATTAGGACTCCATATTATTTTATAGATCAATGTTTGCTATAGTGTAGGAGTTATGAGCGATTGGCAAGAAGAGCGTTAGGATTCATATTTTAATGATTTCACGGTGAAAATAGTGCTTGAGTTTACTGGTTTTCTTAAAGATTCAATATAGGATTATGTTGTTGCTTTTCTAAGCCTATAAAATCTTTGCTCTCCCAGTCTAAATCTCTTCTTTCACCTCTTTGCAGCCTTTATGCTCTCAACTCAGCTAAACTACATGGCCGAGGAAAACATTCTGGTTCCAAACTGTGTGTGCCTCCTCAAGAGGCAGGTGACAAATATGCTCAAAGATGGACGGTATGAAGACTTCTTAGTCAACTTCAGAAATTCATGAATTTTGTGGGAATGTAACATTTTCTGGAGTTCATATAAAATAAAATAAAAACTTGATCAAAACATTTCCAAAGTATGCATTTAAGTATTATCTTTCATTGCAGACGAGTGGTCATCATTTTAGAAATTCAGGTCCTGAAGCCTGCTGAAGAGGTTGGTGGTAAAATCGGAGACCCTACACCTTACTCTGATGGTAAATATTCTCCCACTTTGTAAGCTGCCACCATATCAGTGAAGATGTAAAGCAAAAGTCATAGAGACCATGTGCACAGCTGTTCAACTTCAGATCTGCAACCTAAATTAGTGTTTGGGATAAATATTGCTTTATATGAATTCTTTTTCCAGACAAGTTTCTGTGTTGTATTTACATATCGATTACCTCCTGATATCAATACAGAATCCTTCATTTTAATCTGAATGTCTGTACAGGTCAGAGTAAAGGGCAGCAGCCAGCTCCAGCCCCAGCTCCAGCTCCAGTGCCTGAAACCAGACAGCCACTGCAGCAGCAAAATAGAAATGAAGGTGAGGGAAAGCTTTTGTTGAAGCTGCAAAACTTCATTTGAGATGAATAGACTGAATTTTCTGCTCAAAACAGCAGAGATGATATGTACTTGTAAAATATGACCAACAGATGGCAGCAGTCATCTGTTGCAGAGCTGTGACTTGAAGATTCACATGACTTTTTTTGACAGCCACAGTGGAAATATTTACATATTTAAATAGTAGAAAAATATATATATATATATTTTCATACCCCACCTGCATTTCTGTATTCATTTTTGCCTGTGTGCTTTAGTGAATATATCCACTTTTTTAGGGGGGTATTGATTCAGCCACACATAATCAAGAGTGCGGGTTAGATTACAAAATTGACTTTTTGATGAACGACTATTGGTTGTAAATGTCAAAGATTCGAAAAAGATTTTTTTTTTTTTGCTAGTAACTTTAACCTGGGGACATGTGAAATCCAGCTGTCAGAGCGGTTGTGCTGTATTCCTGCATGTGTCATGGTAGATATTCATCCATCAAATCTGCCATGTGGGAATTAAGATTTTGGCAGCCTCCTGTTCATCAGCACAGTCATTGTTCATTTCTCTGTGCGCCGCTTGATCTCGGGGCTTAATTACCAGAAGTGCAGTGGTTTGCAAAGTTGGAGGACTTAAGTGGACACTTTGAACTCTAATCCTCCACGTGAGACGCACACGAATCTAATGTGCAGTGCCTGCTCAAACGGAAAATCTAAACGTCAGGCAGCAATGCTCTCCAGGGGAAGAGCGGATCCAGTTTGTTATAGCATTTCACACTCTGCCCTGATTCTGTGAAATGTGAATCATACTTCTCACCAAAACGCTGGATCATATATCTCTAGCCACCTGGTTTGATATCATTCTTGTTCTAATCTCTCTGCCATGCAGGAATTAAGTCAGCACTGGTAAATTTAAACTGATACCTCTTTTCTTTGAAACTTTCTCTCACAAGTAAGCTAATTAGTGATCAAGCGGTTACAATCGAAAGAAATTAGATTTTGGTAATTTTCCCAGGATGATTGATGTATGTATCTCTCTTTTGACTCTAAGCCAATATGTCTCATCACAGATAATTTTTTTTCTCCTTGTTCCTCTAACAGTGAACAGGAATTTAAATCGAGACTTCATGAAGAAGGTTCCCTCTGCTTTGCCTGATACTCCAGGGGGTGGCTCCAAAGTTGTCCCCATCGCTAGTCTCAACCCTTACCAGTCCAAGTCAGTATGCATGCTTTATATGTTGTTAGCCTAACATTTTACTTTGATATCCATTCATTGAAGACCTAGAAAATATGATTGGAACCTAATGTGTTTATATATTACATCCTGCCATCACAGAGGTTTGTCTTATCTGATCTTCAATAGATTTTTGGGGCCATCTGAAGCTAAATGGTTGTAGTATAATTAAAATTACTCTGTTGAATACAGATACATTTTCTTAACTATTCTGGTAAATCTGCATTTTTTTTCTTCCTTTATACTTTATTATGGGATTTATTGTTCATATGTTCGCAGTCAAAGTCGCTTTGCTTAATACGAGAGGAGTCCCTGTTCTATACTGATGTTTTAAGACAAACTAAACTATTATAGTTTAAAACTGTTTAGTAGCTGCTGCACATATCTTTGCAAAACCATCAGCCTCAACAGTTCAACTATCTGCTATTTTTTTCTCTAACTAAACCTTTTTTTAACGCATATATAAAAAAAGCTGGCTAATAAGCTATTTGATGGGTTTATGTCTCCCTTTCTGAGTAACAACTTCCACAACAAACAGGGTTTTTGTTACAGAGACCAGATTTTATATGAAGATACTTGAATTTTCCACCTGACGAAGCAAGACAAGCAGAATTATTAAGAATTATTTTCTTTTCTTAATAATATATTTTCCCCCATTCTATACTGTCTCTCAAATTATAGAAAGTTTAGAGTTTTTAATGTTTTCAAGGTCTGAAAAAAATGTAGTTTCTTTTTACATTAAATGTAAAGAAGAGGTGGAATTGAGCTCCTTTTAGTGCTTCCACATTTGTCCTTAAGGAATCTTCTTCTTTTTTGACTATTTGAGCCGATGTAACAAGTACATTTCTCCACTGTTAGATGAGTAAAGTCAATCAATTATTTTTTAAATGTTTGGCTGTCCATCTTCTGCTTTCTGACATAATGAGAACACAAATACACAATCACTGTTTTACAAATGCGTGAGTAGACATGCTTAACATTTCCAACAAATAGGTGACCATTATTTAATGATTCATTAGTGGGCTATTTTACTTTTGTAATGGACACAAACATGACCTGGAAAAATACAGAAGCGTTAAAGATTGGAGGATAGAAAAAGGCTTTAAGAATAAGTTTTTTTTTTTTTTTTAGGGCTACAGAGATCCAGTGCATTGAGAAAGCTTAGATTTATTCATGCATGCTTGTAGGAACACCTTTGCTTTTACAAGCCTCGAATGAGAAAATCCTTCCTATTTTACTTTTAAAGGTGGACAATCCGTGCTCGTGTAACCAACAAGAGCTCCATTCGTACGTGGAGCAACGCTCGCGGCGAAGGAAAGCTCTTCTCGATGGAGATGGTAGATGAGAGCGTAAGTTTTGTTTTTATGTTGTATGAAAAATTTACTGTCTCAGAATTGCTTAAATTTGTCAGTTGTTTTTAATTTTTCAAAGTAATTTATTTATTTTTTTTATTAAAGGGAGAAATCCGTGTGACTGGTTTTAACCAAGAAGTTGACAAGTTTTTCTCTCTGATCGAGGTTGGCAAGGTGAGATTCATCCAACAGATACCGGTTCAGGATATCCAAACGATCTGGCGAAACTTTCTTTCTCTTTGCTGTTAAAGACAGATTTGGCAGCACAGTGCGCTGTCAACAGCTGCCAGTACTTTGCGAGTTAAAACCACAGAGACTATGAATGAGTCATCTGGCAGCCTCATACCCATACAATAAGCAGCTTATGATCATCTGCCAGCCTTTGTTGATGCCTCCCCACCTCCCCTGCTGTCTAAAGTCCTATCTCGTTTGCACCATTCAGTCAGGTGAAATACTCCCCAGATCTCTGATTAACACCAAGCTTATCTTTCTGCATGAACCAGGTCTACTATGTCTCCAGGGGCTCCCTAAAGATCGCAAACAAGCAGTACACATCAGTGAAGAACGACTATGAAATGACTCTCAATGGAGAGTCTACCGTCATTCCCTGTGAGGACAGCTGCGATGTTCCCATGGTGCAGTGTGACTTTGTCTCCATTGGGGACTTGGAAAACAGAGAAAAGGATGCCATTGTTGGTACGGAGCTTTAATTCACATATCTATACCCACATACACGTTGCAGTAGCAGTCACACTTTAAAACTAACAATCTTAGTTGGTGGACAAAAAAAAGGCATTTGCTCTGTTTATAATCTGTATAAGATAAATTAAAGCAATGTTTTTTTTTAAAAAGAAAATGATTTTCAATAGAGATGTACCATCAGGCTTTTCTTGAAGGACAATCATTTTAGTTTAACATTAGTCCGTGGTTCATTGCTCAGTTCTTTACATTTAATAACTCTTCTCATCTTGCATAAAAATACTTAGATAACCCTAAAATATAAGTTTGACTAATATAAAATAGAGTTCAGGGTTTCTGTGAAAAGATGACAGAGTGAATAGTTCTTAAAGTTTTATGCTGCAACGCAATCAGTGCTACTCTGACTTCTTTCATTTCCTGACCCTCTAAGCACCCACTCTACCAGGGAGAAATCCCAGCAGCACATATTTACTGCTGCACCCTCATCCGCAAAGACATCTGAATACATTTTAAATGTCTTGTGTGGTGTTAATGGCACAAATCAAGTAACTAATGCCCTGCTTGGTTCTTGCTGAGGTGTTTCTAAGCTTCCTATAATGGTCCATTCTGTGGATAGTTTGTAATGGAAACTATCGGCTTATTTACTAGGAGGTAATTGCATTACATTAGTGGCGATGAGAGTTGTTCAAATTTTTGCCTTGACTGTACTTGTCTGCACACTAATGCACATTGAAAGTGCTTGAATTTTCTAATAAAAATTGGGGGAAAAAGTTGCTTTAACTGGTAGATGATGTTTTTACTTAATCTTTAGGGTAAGATTTCTGTTTGAATAACATTTTGATTAGTTTCCTCCAGGTTTGAGATTTTTAGGCTGGGCACTTAAAGGTAAAATGGATCCAAATTTGCATCTTTTCAAATAACTTTACATTATGAAAGACAACAGTATGCATCTAAAGCAGTATTAAACATGTGTCTAGCAAAAAATAAAAAGATCTTTGATAATGGATACAGTTCTGTCCAGCTCTTGGTTGAGGAACGTGTTTTGACAAAATTTTGATATATATTTTTTTATTCATCAATTCTTTTGTTCTTTTATGGGCTGCAGACTGCTTTCATTTATTTTTCCAGACTTTTAAAACTGGTTAAAGAATTTGAATGCACGATGTGATGAAACCCCAGACCTGGGGAAGAAATAAGAGGGAAATTTAATAATAAAAGATAACCCGGTGTAACTCAGCTCCCCCTAAAAATAGATGTTCTACCCCTGTTTACTTGTTTAAACAATTAAAATCAAAAATGTTTGTGTTACTGGTCATTTCTGTATCATAAAACCAATAATACTTTAAAGTCTTTACAAAGTAATTAATACTTTATAATTTGGTAAAACTGATACTAACTGTTTGAGTGATGCATGATTGACTTGTAGTGAAACACTTGCAGCTCTTTCATGGTTTCTCATCAAACAAACTAGTTGGAAGTGCAAAGAGAATTAAATTAGCAAGAAAAGACATTCCACCATTACGAAATAAGACTCAATGTTATAGTCAATTCAGTTTTATTTCACTGCCAAATCACATCAAGGAGAATTGTCTCAGACAGCTTAAGAAATTAGATACACTCAGTAATTCCTTTGTGTTTTTGATAATATCATACTTGAGCTATAATGCATTTCAGATGCAAAATGACTATAAACTAAGTTTCAGTGTTTGGTGGTCCAATAATTGTTCCAGCCTGTGCTGCCAGAGGTAAAACCTATTTGTTTTTGCATTACAGACGTGATTGGAGTATGTAGAAGTGTGGACGAGGTGACCAAACTCACAACCAAGTCCAACCGGGAAGTATCTAAGAGAACATTGAGTCTGATGGACATGTCTGGGAAGCTGGTGAATGTCACACTGTGGGGAGAGGAAGTAAGTAGTAACAGGGTTGTGCTGAGGTGTTGCTAACTTCTTTCCAGACAGTTTTTGTCCAAGATTTTTAAATGACTGCATCAGTATTAGATCTGTATTCAGCTGTCCTGCTTATTCAGTTTGTGCAAGGAATATTTGAACAGGAGGATCATTGGTATACTGCTCCTTCCTTTAGTTGGGGAAACGTGAAAAGTTGGACACCTATAAATATTATGTTAACAGACTAGTTACTGACTGAAAAGTATCCTTGTGATAATGCAAGTGAACTCCTCAAGTTGATTTTTCTTTTCCCTTGTGCTGAGTTCAATCCCGTTTTATTTTCCTCTTAAAGATGCAGAGCTGCTCTGTCTAGTTTCTTTTAAAGGTATCCCACCTCCAAAGGGATTTGATGAAATCAAATGTATAGTCCTTATAAAACAATGACAGTGTCAAACAACTTTGAAGAGATTTCTCCTGTCTGAAGTCTTCAGTTACTCCCAGGTGGATTATTTTTTTATTCTCTGATCGTCTGGTTATTTCAGCTGTCTGAGGTTTTTAAGTTCTTTAAATGTGAGCTCCCTTCTTTTTTTTGTTAAAAAAAACTTGGTTTTGAAGTGTTGGACCAAAATAGACAAAATTCAATTGCATTTTTTCTTTTCATTCTCTAGGCAGAAAAGTTTGACGGCTCTGGACAGCCGATTGTAGCCATAAAAGGGGCAAAGCTTTCGGACTATGGAGGCCGCTCACTTTCTGCATCCTTCAGCAGCACCATGATGATAAACCCAGATATCCCAGAGGCATACAAGCTCAGAGGCTGGTAAGTGAGCCAAGCATCCCTGATACAGCTAGAGGAAATATTTACAAGTACTTGCATACAGAATGGCATGCTGGGAGCTGTATGTGTTTCACAAGCAATTGGGACACCGTTGTCAATTCCCATTGTATTCAAATGAAATGGCAGGTTGTTTTCAGTTTATACATGTGCATGCTCAGACTCTAATTATTAAGATTAGCTTCCTCCCCTCAACCTCATACTTGGTGTGCTATAATGATGCGTTACATCTAAATGGAAATCATAGTTAATCTGTGAAAATTCTTTATTACCCTTTTAATCGCCTTTGCAGCATGATTTGAAACCTAGATTCTTCTTTGTATAAAATGATTCCCCTTTTATTTTTCTGGTGTTTAATCTAAAGATATGTGATGTTGATGAAGAAATTAATCCAAATATTTGCAGGTATCTTTGTAAACATAGCTGATGCATCCTGTTAGTCTCATTTAAAGTGATTAAGAATTGATAGCTGTAGGATATTAAGATATTTTTTTTTCTCAGGAAAAATGCAAAGCAGTCAAATCTGACTCCAAAATTGTGACTTAAATAATGTTACTATTTCATATGAATTATTGCCTGATTAACACGTATCACGTTTGCCATTCCAGCCTTGCAAATGGCTTTCTGATGTAGGATCATTTTATTTGCTTAGAGATGGAAAATGTCTAATTAAGATCACCCTAGGGTGCTCTTTTTCCATCTACCTGCACATCATTAACTCTATTTTGCAAAGACTTTATAAGGCTTAGTTTCCTCTTAGGTTTAATGATAGGCATTTGTTGTCCACTCTCAGTCTCTTCTTAGGCGGCTAGAGATAACGATCCTTAAAATCATCATGTTGGCTTAATTTCCTGCAGAAGAAACATTGGTCCACGGGAGTCCTTTCTGAACACTGGGTTCCCACAGGTTTCAAGGCAGTCATTAATGAAGAGTTTTTAAGTCACAGATGGAAGGAGGAGAGACCCGATTCATTACTCGCAGTCCAAGTCAATTCTTGTGAGAGCAACGGTCAAGAGAGGATCATTACTTAGAATAGCTGACAGCCGTAGCACAGCTGTGGACAAACTGGGGCCAATGTAGTCATTAGCCCTATGTTTATGCTTCATCATAAAAATGATATTTGCCAATTTATTTTAGTTTGTATTTATTATAGGACTATTGGCTGTGGAATACCTACATTGCCTTTTATGAGTCTTTATATCTAAACTATTTTTAGTACTTTATCACATCAAAACCATCAAAGTATTTTACTTGATGTGACTGAAATCTTAAATATTTAGAAAATAGTGGGGAGAAAAATATGTTATGACTAATTTGTTGTGGAGCTATTTCTCAGCTTACAGCAGTAAGTGACCTGAAGACATGTCTCCAAAGTTTCCAGCAACACAGAAAATCATCGCTAATTTTATGTTATCCATTAGTATTGTTTTTGCTCTTTTGGTTGGAAAAAATGCTAGAGGGGTCTGAAAAGTTGCTAAACATACAGACTCAGTCATTAAAGCTTGGTTTATGATTGACACATTTACAAGGACAGAATTTGTACTAAACGGACGGATCTGCACGGAAAACATGGGGAGCTAACGGCCGCTCATTCTGGGGAAAGTTTGCAAATGTGAACCTCTAGAGACATCCAGTGATGGAAAAGCTCCAGGAAAGAAATGACTGTTGCTCTCAAATGGCATGAAGAGGCCTTGATAAAGATGTGAACGGCTACTTCCTCATGTAGCATGGTGTTGTCAGTTTGCACCCCCTCCCGGAGACGGCTAGAATGGGGTTAAAGCCACGCTGAGTGTAAATGATTTGACGGGCGGCTCATTTTCCGCGGTCAAGCATAGGGTGGCAACAGTGTCAGTGTGACAATTAACGATAAATTGATTGAAATATAGTAAAAGCCTGGTATATATGCCCACCACAAAACACTTTGTGTTTTAATTGACACAACTATATATTTCCAATGTTGCACTTTTATTTAAAGTGCCTTGGGCTGCCCATGTACCACCGGGGGGGAGAACCATGTTCCACTTTTTGAGAATGACTTTTGAAACCTATATAGGGTGATGGATGGATGGATGCATTAATTCTAAAAAAAAATCTAAAAAGTAGAATGGGGAGTAAGATTTGGAAATACCAATGCTCATTACCCAGTCCTGGAAAATGCTTGAATTAAATTCTTTAATTTGGAGACCTTGGTTGATTGGATTTGCTTTATGCCCCATGTTTATCATAAAAAAAATAAAAAAAACATCAAAATGGCTGCACTGTACCTCCTTTTTTAAAAATAATTCTTAAATGTGCCTGGTGAATAAAATTGAGTACAAAGGAGGAAACAATTTGATGCCTGATTCAGTCCACAATATACATAATTAAATTCTTTCACTTAGCAAGCCAGAGGTTTCTTCCCTCAACCACAAACCCAAGGCTGCTGAAACAACACTCCTTTACTGCTGCAGAGGCATTATAATTTGACTTTTTTTTTTTTTTTTTTTTGCGCAGACCTGTGGGACTTATTTAAATGAATAGTCTATCCTTGGTGGGCTGTTGTCTTATACTCATGCAGAGCATTAGTGGTGCAGCTCCTTTGAAAAGCTGGAAGCTAATCTTGCTTTGACTGAAATGGCAATAATGTCCTTGTAGGAAGAATTCTATTCTTTGCTCTAATAATCTTGATCTTTGTTTAATGTGGTGTTAACATGATTATTTCTCCTACTTCTTTTTCATGGGTGAACTAAGGCTGCTGTCTGCATGAAATCTGCATTGTTATCTGACCACTTGTCCATTAGGTGGCAAAAGCACATTTAGGGAAACTGCCCTGTAATACCAGACATGAGTTTTTTTTTGTTTTTTAATTCCAGTCTTTATCAGCTTTATTCTCTTTCCTTGATGCAGTCACCCTCAGACATTTACCATTATCTCATTTAGCCGAGCTGACATTTTCTGTCATCCTTATCAGGGCTTGAGTATTTCTACTTGCAGAGACAAGTCAGACAGTTAGGACAGTAATTAAGTGAGCATGAGCGCAAATAAACAAGCATTCTCAATAGTCCAGTTGTAGTCTTATTATGCTTTTTTTCCTCTGAATTTCATATAACATATTGGTAAATATGTGGCTAGTAATGTTATCTTTCTGCACTAAGATATGAGCTGTTTTTCATTAATGGAGAGTGATTAAGGAAGTCATTAGGTAATGGTAAATTATTTTTAGATTAAGGAGCTACATGCTGCTTGTGATAGGCAATCAAACAATTTCATTAATTGAATTAAATGTTTATCCTGACCTTTAAAAGATGTGTTGTAGCTCTGCTAACATACAGGGATTTTACTGTAGCTATTTTGGACTTATTTTAACTTTCATTAGGCATTTTATTAATGTCTTAATTAAAGCATTTCTCATTGATTTTTATTAGAATCTAAAACCTATTCTGCTAAAAGTTGGGACTTCTTTAATATATGGTATATACTGTCTTACTTGTATTCATTTCTATTTGTACACATTTTTGTACCTACATTGTTTACTTTAGAAACAAGTTCTGCATTTGACAGCATGTCATTTGCTCTAGATGAAAGGCCTATACACATGTCATGGAAGATAGAGGAATCATATTTGTTGTCTCTGCTACTCTCAGCTTGGGCATGAGAGTCTTAGCCTGGAGCTGAGAACACTGCTTACTTAGACTTTTCTCCTCATCCCTTCATGCCTCTTCCTCAGACATTTCTCCACTGCTGTCCTGTCCTTTAGACAGACTTGGTCATATTTGACGTGCTCCCTGCTACAAGTCTGTCTTTAATTCCTATTGTGCAGTTAGTTTGTCTTTCCGTAAACAATGCATCATATTTGCTTACACCTAAATGTTGATGCTTCGATGGACAATAAATTTTCCCCCTTCTTTGTAATCGGTCTTTCTTCTTCCTTTTCTTAAAGTCTATAGATGTCTGCACATTTATACCAGATTGTTACAATAGTATCTGGTCTAGCATTTTCAATTTTGTTGAATCCGCATGTTCGACATGACATCCAATTCATACCCTTTAAACATGGGGTGCCGTTTTAACCAATTCAGCTCAATTGCTACATGGGTTTTCCCTGTAGAGACATTCGTCTTCTGAGATGTCCAATAATTGCCGTTTTCATCTTGCAGAGGGTGATTAGTGATTGCTTGCAATTAAAGCAAATCTTTGCAGGTACACAAGTGAGGAAATCACTGCCACTGGATGGAATTGCTCACATTTGTCAGAGGTGGGGAAATGGGCTTGTGCTGGGCCACAGTCTGAATTTTTAATGTGGACGATGTTTAATTAGTCATGCCTGGAAGAAAAAAAGGCAGTCTGTCATATTTACAACCAGTGGTCTTTTTTTGTATTGGACTCAATTAGTGAACTCTGATCTTTGACCCTTTTAACTTGAATTAATCTTCTTCAACCACTAGTTTCTTACTTCCACCCTGACCGAGTTCTTCAGCCACCTTTTCATCATCTTCCACCTATTGTCTTTTTCTCCAGTAACCGAGACCATCGCATGAAAACAAGTTTCTTTTTGATATCAGCCCTGACCCTGGCCAATTCATCCGTCTCTGTACTGTTGATTCATTTCAAAGCCCTCCTTCTATATTCTCAGATGAGCCATCTGACGAAGGCTAATGCATCCCTTGCTTGGAAAAGTAATTATTTTATGTTAAGACGTTCTTCTAAAAGGCATGTAAAAACCAATGCATTGTGGCTCATACCTTGGTAATGGTACCAAGGTAAATGGTAAACTGAATTAGAATACTGACCATAGCTGGATTCATCATATTATTTTCCATTGATCTCTGTAGATTATGTACGTTCAGGGTTGTCTACAGTCAGCATGAGGATGGGTTGAACTTGCTACTATATAGAAACCGTGTCAGAAAGTCTTTTAATGTTTTTTAATAAAGTTTTATTAAAATTAGGGCTGCAACTAACAATTATTTAGCAAATAAATCTGTTGATTATATTTTTCGATTAATAGTTGGATAGCCAAAGATTCCATAAAGATTTTTTACAAAAAAAAAACAACCCAACAGGTGAAACTAATACTTTTCCTCTTGGAGTTCTGGATAGAGCATATTGACAGACTAAAACATTTTTTTTTTTTATCTTAAAGGCAAAATGTTTATAACTTTTTTTTTTTTAATAATAATTTTTGTATAATTACAACTATAAGTGGGTTACTCAGCTAAAGGCATGTTTAACAGTCTCTATACTCCAGCTGACGATTAATGGATTACTAAATTAGTTGACGATTATTTCAATAATCGATGAATCCGATTGTTTCAGTCCTAATTAAAAATGTCATCATATTTGTCATTGTAGTAAAGTCGGTTGCAAAATGCTTTTTAGTAGGCTCGCCACGGTTTGCTGGACGATAAACAGAAATATTGTGATAAATGATGATACTATTGGGTTTAAATTCAAAGCGCCTCCATACTGCAGGCGTCACTTTTAAATTTGAAATAAAGTTCCACTGTTTTTCTGAATCTCAACTAGCATTTGTTTGCGTGGCTGCTTCTCTGTTGCAAAGCTCTTATGCTGCACCCATTACTGTAAGGAAACTATAAGGGGAGGGCTGACTGGAAACAGGTGCACTAGAAAGAAACCCTTTCTGATCTTAGAAAGAAGGGGAGATGGAGGGGAAACAAACTAACATCCAAAACTAAATTGTTGACCCAATTTCAATTTTTTTGTTTGTGACAGGCCTACTCTTTAATTACTATTATTGTATATAAGGTAATCAAGATCAAACTTGCAAGTTGAGCAGTTCATTTTTTGGCTTCAGGAAAAATTAAGGGGTTCCTGTGTTATTTTCGTCTTTTTGTTTAACTTTCTTGGGTTCATGCTTAAAACTGCAGCCATGGTGGGGCAAATGGGTTTGAGTGAAAATATTATCAGTAAGTTTGTCACTGACTCTTTTTGTGGTGGATGCTGTGGAAGTTGTTTTGCAGAGGTGACTTGGCCTTCTTCATAAACCCTTGTTTTTATGCTGCTCACTCAACATGTGTCAGGAGTTTCCTGCAAATGTACAGAATACATTTAAACATTTTTCCCATTAATTGCACCGCTTTATATTTTACTTATTTAATTTTTGTTCGCTAGCAAACACAGCTGCTACCGGAAATTAGTGAAGTATGCCATTTACATTTGGAAAGTAAGATTTGTATGGTGGATTATTAGTGAACAAGCTGATTGCAAATGTAAATTTTGCAGAAACAATAAAGGGAAAAGTTGGAGTTTCCTATTCCCAAAATCAGATTTCTCATTTTCTACCCTTTTCCCCAATTAATATACAAAACCAAGTGCTTTTGTTTAAAGCACATTCAGTAAACATAACAAACCACCCAATGGATGCTTTTATCAGTACTTGTATCATTTGTAACCAGGGTAAAACTAGCTGTCCCTCTGACTTTAATCCTTATAGGTTCGACAAAGAAGGCCATGCCTTGGAGGGGCAGTCGCTGACGGAGGTGAGAGGCGGCAGCGGAAATTACATGGAAAACTGGAAGACACTGGCTGATGTTAAGTCGGAGCATCTTGGACACGGCGACAAGGTACACACACATGCTGCATTATCTTAAGCCACAAATACATAAGACTGTGTTGACTCAACAAACATTATTCAATGGTGACTTTGGGATGTTTCAGGAGACAGTAAAATGTTTTTTTATGAGCCCTAAACAACAATCTGTGCACACGGGTCACAATGCTTTAATTTCTGTGCCTTTGTCACCATTTTCTATTTATGCTGTAAAAGGGATTTTTGTTTAGTCTTAGTGCAATGAATAAAATCAATAAAATATAATATCACTGCACCCCCATTTATGTTTAGAATCAAATCCAAGCGACATTTATCACCTGCTGCTCATTAATCCCCCTCCTCTGTAGATGTCCGCTTATAGTTCTAGTTTATGTACCTGGTGAGACGCATTTATCTCTGGTATTGATTGTGAAGATTACATAGGCGTCATTCCTTGCCCTGTAATGAAATGGCTGCCCATGCAATAGTAAGGCAAATCCATTTTCTTCCATTTTAACCTTTTGTTTGTGGCACTGCAGAAAACTGCTAGCAGAAGTGGAGAAATGTTCTCAAAGATAATGTGACCTCTGCAGATGCATTACCTCTGGTAATTTGGGGTAATTTAAAATGTACTGAGCTATAGTAATTATAACAATATGATATGTTTTGTATTAAGGCATGAGAAATTCTAAATGTATTCAGTTATGATGGTGATGAAGATGAAAGACCTTGTTATTTTATGTTTGTGTATACAATTAAACTGGAACAAAAAGTATGGATTAAACAGGGGTTCACGTGTTTAACCTTTACCAAAGTGAACAATGGGATTTTGGAAATTGGTAACATGAAGTACATTTATCAAAAATCTCTTTATGCTTAAAGCTGTGAGTAATCCTTTCATACTGTTAATGCTATGATTATTCTTCTTTTATGCTCTGTTCCACGTTATTTCTGATCACAGTGTGGATTTTAATGCACTTCAGGTATTCAGCTCACTGGGGACCTATAGTGGCACCTCTCATTAAATGAAATACAATAGAACGTTAATTTATTTCAGTCATTTGAACCAAAAAGCAGAACTGGTAGGTTAATTGCACAGTGATACATTTCAAGCAAGTATAACTATTAATTTAAATGATTGTGACTCGCAGCTAATGAACACCTGGAATTCACTTTTTCATTTACAGAGAATGTCAAAAGATTTTTAATGCAGAAATGTTATGACATTCAATCCTCAATTACAGGGAAGACTGCTGATTTAGTCAGATGAAAGGTCCAAAAGGAGGAGAAGTCTTAAAGATAACTGCAAGAGAAACTAACTTTGTGTTTTGCCACATCTGTGAATATAGAAATTGCTCGGTTAAGATGCATAGGGATAATGATTGACTAAAAAGACATGTATCCTGCAAAACCAACCTTGAGCTTTTAACAATTGAAATAAATTTGATGCCAGAGAAGCATTATAACAAAGTGACCCTAAAACAGGCTTAAATTAGACGACAACCAGATCTTCGCTCAGTTTTTTTTTTTTTTTTTTTTTTTTTTTTTTTTTTAATCCAGTCTTTATCAGCTTTATTCTCTTTCCTTGATGCAGTCACCCTCAGACATTTACCATTATCTCATTTAGCCGAGCTGACATTTTCTGTCATCCTTATCAGGGCTTGAGTATTTCTACTTGCAGAGACAAGTCAGACAGTTAGGACAGTAATTAAGTGAGCATGAGCGCAAATAAACAAGCATTCTCAATAGTCCAGTTGTAGTCTTATTATGCTTTTTTTCCTCTGAATTTCATATAACATGTTGGTAAATATGTGGCTAGTAATGTTATCTTTCTGCACTAAGATATGAGCTGTTTTTCATTAATGGAGAGTGATTAAGGAAGTCATTAGTAAATGGTAAATTATTTTTAGATTAAGGAGCTACATGCTGCTTGTGATAGGCAATCAAACAATTTCATTAATTGAATTAAATGTTTATCCTGACCTTTAAAAGATGTGTTGTAGCTCTGCTAACATACAGGGATTTTACTGTAGCTATTTTGGACTTATTTTAACTTTCATTAGGCATTTTATTAATGTCTTAATTAAAGCATTTGTCATTGATTTTTATTAGAATCTAAAACCTATTCTGCTAAAAGTTAGGACTTCTTTAATATATGGTATATACTGTCTTACTTGTATTCATTTCTATTTGTACACATTTTTGTACCTACATTGTTTACTTTAGAAACAAGTTCTGCATTTGACAGCATGTCATTTGCTCTAGATGAAAGGCCTATACACATGTCATGGAAGATAGAGGAATCATATTTGTTGTCTCTGCTACTCTCAGCTTGGGCATGAGAGTCTTAGCCTGGAGCTGAGAACACTGCTTACTTAGACTTTTCTCCTCATCCCTTCATGCCTCTTCCTCAGACATTTCTCCACTGCTGTCCTGTCCTTTAGACAGACTTGGTCATATTTGACGTGCTCCCTGCTACAAGTCTGTCTTTAATTCCTATTGTGCAGTTAGTTTGTCTTTCCGTAAACAATGCATCATATTTGCTTACACCTAAATGTTGATGCTTCGATGGACAATAAATTTTCCCCCTTCTTTGTAATCGGTCTTTCTTCTTCCTTTTCTTAAAGTCTATAGATGTCTGCACATTTATACCAGATTGTTACAATAGTATCTGGTCTAGCATTTTCAATTTTGTTGAATCCGCATGTTCGACATGACATCCAATTCATACCCTTTAAACATGGGGTGCCGTTTTAACCAATTCAGCTCAATTGCTACATGGGTTTTCCCTGTAGAGACATTCGTCTTCTGAGATGTCCAATAATTGCCGTTTTCATCTTGCAGAGGGTGATTAGTGATTGCTTGCAATTAAAGCAAATCTTTGCAGGTACACAAGTGAGGAAATCACTGCCACTGGATGGAATTGCTCACATTTGTCAGAGGTGGGGAAATGGGCTTGTGCTGGGCCACAGTCTGAATTTTTAATGTGGACGATGTTTAATTAGTCATGCCTGGAAGAAAAAAAGGCAGTCTGTCATATTTACAACCAGTGGTCTTTTTTTGTATTGGACTCAATTAGTGAACTCTGATCTTTGACCCTTTTAACTTGAATTAATCTTCTTCAACCACTAGTTTCTTACTTCCACCCTGACCGAGTTCTTCAGCCACCTTTTCATCATCTTCCACCTATTGTCTTTTTCTCCAGTAACCGAGACCATCGCATGAAAACAAGTTTCTTTTTGATATCAGCCCTGACCCTGGCCAATTCATCCGTCTCTGTGCTGTTGATTCATTTCAAAGCCCTCCTTCTATATTCTCAGATGAGCCATCTGACGAAGGCTAATGCATCCCTTGCTTGGAAAAGTAATTATTTTATGTTAAGACGTTCTTCTAAAAGGCATGTAAAAACCAATGCATTGTGGCTCATACCTTGGTAATGGTACCAAGGTAAATGGTAAACTGAATTAGAATACTGACCATAGCTGGATTCATCATATTATTTTCCATTGATCTCTGTAGATTATGTACGTTCAGGGTTGTCTACAGTCAGCATGAGGATGGGTTGAACTTGCTATTATATAGAAACCGTGTCAGAAAGTCTTTTAATGTTTTTTAATAAAGTTTTATTAAAATTAGGGCTGCAACTAACAATTATTTAGCAAATAAATCTGTTGATTAT